ATGGCAAATCATTTAGGCTCTTTGTGGGCCATATAATCTCTGTTGTGCCATGTAACTCTGCTGTTGTAACACCAGAGAAGTCATGGGCGACGCGCAACCCAACGAGCATGGCTGTGTTCCATTGAAACGGGCAGCGGGCTGGGACTGGTGTGTGCTGGTCAGCCCCTGGTATAGGAAAAGGGGGTCTGCATGATGGGGCTGCAGGGGAGGAGTGGTGGCCGAAGATCCAGGCTTTCATGGCACCATTCCTTGCAATTCCTGGCTCTTCCTTGAGCATGGCAGGCAAGTTCTCACCCAGGTGCCTTTGCTCTTATTTCTTCTACCTGGACAGCTTCATCCTCAGACATCCCACAACTTGCTCCTTGAGCACATCGGGGCCGCTAAGAGGCTTTCCTCCACCAGCTACCTCAAGGCACACAGTGTCTTTCTCACAGCCCTTCACAGTATGGGGCGGTAGGTATGGCACCTCCTTGCATTTGTCTATTGTCTCCGTCGGCCACTAGAATGTGAGTGCTTGAGGGCAGTGATTTCGTTTTGTGATTTCTGTTGCCCCAGCACCTAAAACTGTGTTTGGGACATCATAGGCATACATAAGGATGTAGGCACATCATTTGACATACTTGCACATCACTTCCTCACCTGTAAGATGACAGCAGCAGATGGACTTGTGTTTTAAAGGGAGATTTTAGGGTAGTAACTTGATGGGCATTTTTAATAGTTGGGCTTATGTTAAAATATAATATACAAGCAGTGGTTAACCCTGCAACTTCACAAATGCTATTGCTTGGGGACCTACATTTTCCCTTTTGGGGTCGTGAAAAAATATTTAATAAATTAGAGTAAAAACCATTTGTAGGTAAGAGAAAAGTCATGACGTATCACAAAACAGACTAAAGGTGGGGAAACACAGGACCAATCCCTCTTAAATGTTCCTTGTTTTTATTCTAATGCCTGAAAATAAATATATGGTGGGTTCTAATAGTCAGAGTTGCAGTTGACCTATAAAGTGAAAAACAATGCCTGAGAAACATCATAAAGCTAGCTACCACCAGCATGTTCTTCCTAAAATAATTGATTCGGCCGCCATCCCTTGGTCAGTTCCCTTCCATGGCTCCCCAACCCCAGCACCATCAGGTCACCATCAGGTATTTAAACCTTTAGGATCTGGTCCTGGATGTATCTTAGTCAAATCTTTCAATTTTCCTCCAAATCTTTGAACACATTATGCCCCAGTAAACTAAATTATTGATTGTTCTCCTGTGTACCAGGCTGTTCCAGACTTCTCAACCTTTGTTTGTTTTATTTTGTTTTGTTTTTTTGCTTTTATTTATTTATTTATTTTTATTATGTTATGTTAGTCACCATACAATGCATCATTAGTTTTTGATGTAGTGTTCCATGATTCACTATTTGCATATTACACCCAGAGCTCATTGCAACACATGTCCTCCTTAATACCCATCACTGGGCTAACCCATCCCCCCACACCCCTCCCCTCTAAAACCCTCAGTTTGTTTCTCAGAGTCCATAGTCTCTCATGGTTTGTCTCCCCCTCCGATTTCCCCCCTTCATTTTTCCCTTCCTTCTCCTAATGTCCTCCATGCTATTCCTTTGTTCCACAAATAAATGAAACCATATGATAATTGACTTTCTCTGCTTCACTTATTTCACTTAGCATAATCTCCTCCAGTCCCATCCCCGTTGATGCAAAAGTTGGGTATTCATCCTTTCTGATGGCTGAGTAATATTCCATTGTATATATGGACCACATCTTCTTTATCCAGTCATCTACTGAAGAGTATCTCAGCTCTTTCCACAGTTTGGCTATTGTGGACATTGCTGCTATGAACACTGGGGTGCATATGGCCCTTCTTTTCACTACATCTGTATCTTTGGGATAAATACCTAGTAGTGCAATTGCTGGGTCAGAGGGCTGCTCTATTTTTAATTTTTTGAGGAACCTCCACACTGTTTTCCAAAGTGACTGTACCAACTTGCAAAAATGGACAAGGCAAGAAACAACAAATGTTGGAGAGGTTGTGGAGAAAGGGGAACCCTCTTACACTGTTGGTGGGAAGGCAAGTTGGTACAGCTACTCTGGAAACCAGTGTGGAGGTTCCTCAAAAAATTAAAAACATACTTCTCAACCTTTGAAGAAGCTGTCCCATTTGCCTGGAATGCTAAGTTCTAGCATCTGTACTTAGTAAGTGCCTCTTTGTTCTTCCAGACTCTGGACAAAATACTGTGTTCTCTACGAGGCTTGGCTGGCCAGTGCCAGACACAGTGAATCATCACAACTACCGGTCCACTTATGTACCTTGCCCATACTTCCAGTAGGGGAAAAGTCATCCAAGGTCATAATGATTTATTTTCACATCGAAATTTATAATCAACCATTGTCAATACTCAATGCTCTGGGTCTCTCACGGTGCTGCCTCACCTAGAACATGTCCCTTCTTCCTTCTATTTGTTACCCTGGTTTCTATGGGACTATGAATTCCTCATTTTTAATAAATCATCTTTGGGGGATTTGTGGACTGAAATTATTTGTACAGAAATTCACTTTATAGCCTCTACACTTAAATCATATACAACTTAACATAAAGCTAAATTGTATTTTATCACCAGATTGGGAAAAGATTCAATAAGTTATGCTTTACAATTAAAAATAAAACCCATTTTTTATCAATGGGTCATGCTGTATAAATTATAAATGCATTCAGAATTCTTAGGTAGAGGTAACATGAATATATATATATATATGAATGTTAATCTCAAAAGCATTTTCATAAACCATTTAAAAATATACTTCCACGTTTCTTTGGAAAACTGTTTCTTCATCATAAAGCAGCTAATCACTACTTGGCAATAACATACATTTATAAAGAATTGTACAGTTCACAGAATGCTTTCACAAATAGCATTTCATGAAATATTCACAGTAACTCTGTAAGGCAGGTATTATAAAATTCCATTAGCCAAATAAAAAACCGGGGCTTACAGAGGTTACACATGAGTCATCAGCTTAGCCTGAGAGGCTCTAAGCCCCGTGATTCCTTTCACTAGGGTACAGAGAACCCTGCATCCTTTTACTCTGTGACTGGTTTTAGGGGTGCTAAATGATCTTTTTCTTCTTCATAGTGGAATAAGTGCACTTTAATCATCCTGATCTTAATAAAATATACACACGGCATCAAGCCTAATAGACTGCTGAAGCAACGCATGATGATGTAGGTCTCTATTTCAAAAGCATCCTGGTTAGAGTCCAGGATTGACCATTTGTTTGAATGTAATAGCTGATTTCATACCTGGTAACATAAACACTTAAAAGCCACATACATACTCTTAGGGACTTTACTGCCTTCAGGGACCGAAAAACAGAACTACAGTAGCGTCGACCCTATTTCAAGGTGACAGTAGGATAAACTTCACCCAGAGAAGGAGAAAATACAAGAAAAAATTATGACCAACAAAACTATGAGAATGAGGTCTGACCCACTCCACAGGAGCCAGGAAGTTTAAAATGCTGAGTCATTTGTTAGAAATAGCTGTGTAATAGTATGAATGCACAACCAGTGACAGGCTGGGGGGGTGGTGGGGGGAGGGAGGAAGTGGTGGTTTCTGTATTCCTGGAGGCTGCCCCCATGGGAAATACAACTTTATTTTCTGTCCAGTAAATAAGGAGTGGGGGCCAGGTGATGTCCTCCTCTACACTCTTAATTCTGTTTACTTTTCACTACTCATTCCTGCACTCTTCTTTGTCAGGAGCCAAAGAAAGAGGCTGTCGTGAAATGGAAACATTTTGTGTTAATGTAGAAATGGGGAATTTATGTGACAAACTGTATCATAGATTCAGAAGCTAATCTCCATTTTGTTTACCTCTCTTGCCCTGGAAGGACCAAGATGTTGAGAAGAGGGTGAGGATGGATTTGTAGTTACACTTGTATTTGTATAGAGTTCCCACATCAGGATTCACTGCTAAGTGAAACCAGGGTCCTTTTCCCTCTCCTTCCCTCCCGCTCTCTCTTTCTCTCTCTCGATATATGAATAAATACATAGATACATAAAATTTATGATATATCCAAATATATATTCATATGTCTGTATTTCCATTTTTATATTGATAATAAAGACATAATATATTCTACATTCTATGTTACTATTTTTATACTGTACTCATACTTTTATATTTGTTTTTAATTTTACATACTTTATAAAATATATTTCATAACATTAAAAATATACTTGTAAGATTATATAACATTTACATATACTTCTAAATATTTGTATATATACACATTTTTCAATTATTTTTAGTTCCTTTATCATCAGTCCTAGCTACTTTAAAGTCTTCTGGTTTATTTGAGATACTGATTTATCTTAATCAAGGAGTGATTTCAATTCTCAGGTCAAACTCTGTACCCTCACAAGGGACAGACTTAAATCTGGCTGTGGGATTTTATTTCTGAAGCCCTGATTTTCTTTACCTATTCAAAGCTCTTATAAGGCAGAGCCCAGTAGAAAAGTCTGACTGGTCAGGAGTCCCGAGATACACAATCCAGCCACGGCTTGTTGAAAACTACACATGTGACCTTGGGGAAGTGACTTCATCTTGGTGACCTCTTAGGTCATCCCCAGTTCTTAGAGCTGAGGATTCAGGGAATCAGAACCCAACAACTCTGCTCTCATTAGTGTGTAGAGAGTACGTGCAGAGGCATTTTGAAATGAGGTGTTTTTGTTTTAATTTTTACAAATTTGTGGAATCATTATTCTTTCGATAACAAACAAAAATGTAGCAGAGCACGAGGTTTTGTGCCTACCAAGACAAAGTACATAAGGAGATTTGAATTAATAAATAATCCCTGAAAGAATTCTCACTAGATGCCAACCATTCTTAAGAAAGCCCCTGGTGTAGCAATCTGGCACACACGAGAAGTTCTAATTCTGTTTCAATAAGATTCCAAGTATTATTAAGACATTATTACAATTAGTTAATAAGTTGACATTTCTAAGTTCGGTCATTGAGAGAGTTTTCAAGACCAGAACTTGGTGTTCTCTTGCTCTCCTCTACCACCAAATGATGAATCAAATCTTGGTGATCATTCAGGTGAGACTACGCAGAGACTGCCAATGATTGGTACTTCTTCTTCTTCTTTTTAAAACCTAGCAATCAAGAATTATTTAACTGGAGAGGCTGAGATCAAATCAATCCCATTTTTATCATCAGAAGCAAGTTATAAGCAAACAGGTGCAGCGATGTAAATGCGAAGCTATTCCTATTACTCTCTGGAAATGAAAAATTATTAGATATTAAGTTAATGCAGTGTAAATGTATTTCTGTCTGATAGCCGTCTTTCTCTGTCAAATTACTAGATTGTTAGGTAGGAAATAAAACCATCCACATAAATTCAGCCTCTGGTTATGTTGTACTAAAGTTTTAAGACAGTTCAAGGTCATTAGGCCTAGCTTCAAAATCCTGTCAACGTATTCCCTTACATACTCACTACCAACCTAAGTTCTATCTTTTTGATTTATTCTTATCTTAGTATAATATAAAATCTCTGTGGAAGATTTTAGGTCCTGGAAGACACAGATACATATATTAGCTTTCTCTAAATATATTGATTTAAATTTGATGCACATGGAAATGAACACAAATTCAAAAGTAGGTGTAAAAACAGTAGGTAATGAGAAATACAGATTTAACCTCCAATTTGTGTGACATTGAATGGCAATGTGATTTTTTTTTCTCCTCTATTTTCTTACCACCTCACCTTACCAATGTAGAGAATTCTCCTCTTTTTTTTGGGGGGGGGGCTTTATTTATTTATGTGAGAGAGAGAGTGAGCACAGAGGGAGAGTGAGAGGGAGAAGCAGACTCCCCACCGAGCAGGGAGCCTGAAGCAGAGATCAATCCCAGAACCCTGAGATCATGATCTGAGCCCAAGGCAGATGCTTAACCGACTGAGCCACCCAGGTGCCCCAAGAATTCCCATCTTTGAATGTTTGATACCAAAATGAATTTCCGATAGCACTCTTCTTCTGAAAGAAGTTATGCTAATAAATCTATTTCAAAAAACATACTGTGGGGGCACCTGGGTGGCTCAGTTGTTAAGCGTCTGCCTTCAGCTCAGGTCATTATCCCAGGGTCCTGGGATCGAGCCCCGCATCGGGCTCCCTGTTGGGCCAGGAGCCTGCTTCTTCCTCTGCCACTCCCCCTGCTTGTGTTCCCTCTCTTGCCATCTCTCTCTCTGTCAAATAAATAAATAAAAACAAAACATACTGTGGTAGGTTCCTAATTTGTCCCCCCAGTTCACTGTCCAACCAGCAATAATCTTTTTTCCCCTCTTATTTAAGAGACTTTGTTAGAGCAGTTTTAGGTTTGAAGAAAAATTGAGCGGAAGTACAGAGAGTTCTCCTATATTCCCTCCCTCTCCTCTCCCCATGGTTTCCTTCTTATTTAACATCTTGCATTGGTGTGCTACATTTGTTCCAACTTACGAACTGACATTGATACATTTTCATTCAGTTAAATCCACAGTTTATATCAGGGTTCCTGCTTTGTATTGTACAGTTCTCTGAGTTTTGCCAAATGCATAGCATCATGACTCTATCTTGTGGCATCATATGGAAGACTTTTAGTGATGACCATTTAAAATAACAGATTAGTTGCGGCACCTGGGTGGCTCAGTTGGTTAAGCATCTGACTCTTGGTTTTGGCTCAGGTCATGATCTCGTGAGATCGAGCCCTGCATCAGGCCTTGCACTGGGCATGGAGCCTGCTTAAAATGCTCTCTCTCCCTCTGCCCTGCTCCCCCTACACACTCTCTCTCATAATAATAATAATAATAATAATAATAATAATATTAAAAATAATAATGAATTAGCTCATGGCATCCCATCTCCCTGGCCCCAAAAATCATCCAGTGATTTCTCACTACTTCTAGAAGAAAATTTAGATTCCTCAACTGGTCCCAAACTTTGCATACTTTTCACATCCCAGCTCACTACCTGCAGCCACACCAACCTTCTTTCAGATCTGTGATTGCTCCAGATAAAGAGACAGAAGAGTAAAAATGCCATAATATAAGTTAGTCTTAAATTGGAATTAGTTTTTGAGGAAATATAAACAGATAATACTCATGACCTGAGTGGAGGAGGTTGTGGATGATTCGATGTTTCAAATGTAAATTTTCGTAAGTGGCAATTCTCTACAGATTGATTTAATTTGATAATGTCATCTATCCTAAGATTCCTATTGGCACATGAAGGATACGTGCGATAACTATTTTGGAAGTACAGTCAGGTCATTAATCACTGAGAAATCATGGAGCAGAAACCAAGTACCCTGTTTCACTGATCAACTTAAACTCCAAACCCTAAGTTTGCAAGAGATCTTCAGTCCTTTCTCCAACAGTTAGTAAAAAACTAACTTCTCTCTGGTGAACGATACCTTGTTTCTAGCTCATGATGTAAATGCAAAGGAAAGTCATAAAACACACACACACTCACATGAAATTCCTGACTCTGGACTGCTATCCCTGTATTAAAATATGGTATGTGACCATTCATTAAAACTGTCACTTCAGGTAAAGGCATGTAATAGACTGTAGTACTAGTTGATTTCCACACACACACACACACACACACACACACTAATACTGTGTTTCTTCTGTTCAAATAGGTATTTCTTTTTCCTTTTCCTTTTTGAGTACCACGTGTGATACTGAGGTGTGCATTATTGTTAAATACTGAGTCTACCCGAGGTCACAGTAAATGAAGAACAATGATGAAGTATAGGACACATATGAACACACACGTGTGTATGTATTTTGTCCCATTTCAAATCCCAGGGTAAGTTATTTGAAAGTGAATTATTATGAGAGAGGGCATGCATTTCACAAATGTGCAAATCTAATATTCCACAAGAGAGAACCAGGTAGAGAAAACATTTCTCTATGCTAACAGTTCTAATGCAGAAGTCTTTAAACAACATTTTAAGAATAAAATGTAAACAAAAGCTTAGCTGTGGACTTGCTAACTGTACTTCATTAAAGCTGATGCTACCTGGAGCTCTGACTCTTTTTTTTTTTTTTAAAGATTTTATTTATTTATTTGACAGAGAGAGACAGTGAGAGAGGGAACACAAGCAGACAGAGTGGGAGAGGGAAAAGCAGGCTCCCCGCTGAGCAGAGAGCCCGATGCGGGGCTCGATCCCAGGACCCTGGGATCATGACCTGAGCTGAAGGCAGACGCTTAACGACTGAGCCACCCAGGCGCCCCTGGAGCTCTGACTCTTAACCATTGTATGGAGAATCTGAAAATGGGCCATCAGAGTTGCATTCACTTATTTTTTAATTAATTTACATCAGCATTCAAGAATATCTGTTGAACACTGATCACGTGCAAAACTGTTTTAGTTGCAGAGGAACTACAAAACTTTACAAAGACCCTGTATCCGCTTTTTGGTTTATGCTGTGTGCTAGAACGATGCTTCTCAAGCGATCTGCGGTGAAGGATCATTATTTAAAAAAACGTTCAATCCATTACAAACTGATAGTTTTGTAAAATGCCACGAAATGATGCACTTGGACCTTGTGGCTAATGGTAAACTGCTATAGGAATTTCGGAATGTTTATTCTCAGCTTTTGCACTTCTCTCGTCATTCACAAACAGGTTGTGGGCCAGCACCAGTTCACGGACCCGAAGGCCCCACCCAATGTGTAGCCCGCGAACTAGCAGCATCTGCAAGCATCCGGGAACTTGTTAGACATGCAGATTCCTCGGCCCCACTCCAGACCCCTCGAACGTGCACCTGAGCTTTAGGAAGATCTCCAGGTGATTCCTTTACATTAAAGCTGGAAAAGCGCTGTTCTGAAGGGAAATCCATTAGATGGATGAAAAGCTACAATAGGGGTGCCTGGGTGGCTCAGTTGCCTAAGCATTTGACTCTTGGTTTTGGCTTAGGTCATGCTCTCAGGGTCCTGAGATTGAGTCCCGCGTGGGCTCTGCGTCCAATGGGGGAGTCCGCTTGAGATTCTCTCTCTCCCCCTCTCTCTGCCCCCTTCCCACTCGTGCTCTCTCTCTCCCAAATAATCCTAAGAAAGAAAGAAAGAAAGAAAGCAAGAAAGAAAGAAAGCAAGCAAGCAAGAAAGAAAGAAAGAAAGAAAGAAAGAAAAGCTACAATAACGTAAAATAATAGCAATAGTAGCAGATTTATAGCCCTTACAATATGCATATATACACTGGTCTAATTATTTCCTTACGTTAACTAATTTGAACCTAACAAGCCTGTGAAGTAAGTGCTTTTATCGTGCTCGTTTTACAGACAGGGACAATGAGGCAGTAGAAGTCAGGCTCCTTGTTCAACGTCACACAGCTAGGGAGCAGAAAGCAGGCGCACGGACTAGCGTAAGTGACATAAGAGACATAGAGACAGACTGAGCGGGGATGTTCAGAGGAGGGAAGGGTCACTTTTGGCCAAGAGAGGAACTGGGGCTGGGTCTGGAGGACTAGTGCTCTTAGCATCGGGGAGGCACTTCAGTGATTTTTGTTGCATTCCTTTGAATTAATTGACTTTTGTCCTTCAGTGTTTCTCTAACTTCAGGGAGGTGCTTTCAATCTAATGAGCTGTTCTTAGGCGTTCTACTTTTTAAGATATAGCTTTAATTTTCCTTTCCTCTCCTCCTTCCATCTCTACAATGGAAAGTGTTTTCTCCCCTGAGCTTACAAGCACTTTGTTCCTTCCCTGCCTGTTGAGGCTTTCTATCCTTCTTGACGGTATGCAGTTATTCTATATCCTCATGCTCATTTAGGGCTGGGGCCATTATCTACTTACCTTTTTACTCTTTTCCCTAACCCCAGTGCCTGGTACCTAATAGACCCTCAAGAAACATTTGTTAAAATAATGGATAATAGGGGCGCCTGGGTGGCTCAGTTGGTTAAGCGACTGCCTTCGGCTCAGGTCATGATCCTGGAGTCCCGGGATCGAGTCCCGCATCGGGCTCCCTGCTCGGCAGGGAGCCTGCTTCTGCCTCTGACCCTCCCCCCTCTCATGTGCTCTCTCTCTCTCATTCTCTCTGTCTCAGATAAATAAATAAAATCTTTAAAAAAAAATAAAAAATAAATAAATAAAATAATGGATAATATTACACAGTTATCAAGAAAAAGATCAAGCGACTGTGGATGAAGCATGCTTTAAGATATTCATTAATGGAACACCTCGCTCTTCTATCTTCCCAACCTGTTCTGCACCAGTGGAACTGTTGAGCCTGAAATACTGGGCCAAATGTACCTGTCAGTCTTAAGGCTTCGCTACTGAAGTGGCTGAGTGATTATGCGGGGTCACGTGTCCGTGCACGCCGTGCATGCACCCAGGCACGTGGTGGGTTTTTTTTTTTTTATGTTTTTGGAATCTGGTAGACACACTCCAAGTTCTGCTTCACCAATTCTACATTACAGAAAACATGCTGAAAAGCACTGAAAAGAGAGAAATACATTAAAATGTATCAAATCTCCACCCTTCCTTTGATTGGCATTATAGCTTCTTTGCACATTCGAAGGACAGTGGGTCCATGCTATCATTCTTGAATGCATGGGCCTCCAAGTCAATATTTTGGAAACCTTAGGAAGGCTTCTGATTGCCATGTTATTTTGAAGGTACACAAAGTCTTTTCTTAGTGTCAACAGATGTCATTATTTAAATTCAGCTGTTTGTTAAGTAGTATAATTGCCCATCGATTATGTTTTCCCACTGAATTTAGATCATGTTATACCACTCCTTTGCTCAAAAATTTTCAAGTCTTACAAAATAGGGGCTGATGGTAGATGATCCGAAAAATAATTTTAGTCGGTGTCATTCAAAATAACAGAGATCAGGACTTTTATTTCTTAGGTAGCCTTTAAATGAGGGTCCTTGCTAGCTTCTGTTCTATCCAACAAAGAAAGTTCTGCATTTTCTATGCTAAAAAAATGAAATTGCTCCACAAGAATCCTAAATGCCTGGATGTTAGTCGGTATTTGCATATGTGTGGAGTTCTGTGTGCCCTGGACAGGTTTAAATGATAAATTAGTCCATAGATTGAGGACAACATCCTGAAGTGCTTTGTTCAGCTTAATTCTATGGCCCCCTTTCTTTGTATTCTTAGATGCACAATTCCTACCCACATCTGTACTGCTCTGCCCATTATTTAACACTTCAGGCCTGATTGATGAGTTCCTCAAGACACTGTTACTATCAACTTGAGCTTTTGTGCCAGACATCAACACAAGTAATTTGGAGAATATCTACGTGAATGCTAAACCACTCAGTTAGTGATTCTGTTCTTACAGTCCTCTCTTACCTGGACTGCTTAGAGAGAGAGAGAGAAAGAGAGAGAGAGATGCAATGATAGCCTGCTTGTGTTTCTGATTATGACTGAGGACAAAGCACTCCATTGCCTCAGTTTCTCCTTTTGCAAACGTAAAGCATACTGCCTATCTCTTATTACCTCCCACGGTACTGTGGTCTAAATTGATAACATGCTGACAGCTTTGGATTCTCTGAGTATCATATGAAGACTTGTTAGCTACAGTGCTAGCTTGTTGTATGCAAAATAAAACATTCCGTTAAACTTTGTATAACAGGTGGCTGAATTTAAGCAGTTTTAAATGACATTCTTGTTTGTCTTATACCTAAATGTCAATTTTCTTTGGATTAAAAAGGCACTCTATAAATTAACGTGACTAAAAAAAAAGTACACACACACACACACACACACCCAATGGGAATTTTTCTGAGCTTAAGTAACATGGAATTTGATTACACAGTGCTTTTGGGGGCTCAGCTACATCAGGCTGTAGACACCAGGCAGGCTGATTATGACTTAAGCATTGTTTCAACGTGATTTTGCAAAGGATTTCATTTAATGCAGATTAGTAACTTTATTAAGCTGTTGATAATTGAAGCCTCTTAGGTTTGATAAGTACCATCCAGCAAGGTAGATTAGTGGGGTTTAATTCGTTGCTCTCAAATAGCAAACAAAGACTTAGCAGAATAATTACATCTCCTCAGTGGGCTAATAAAAGGCGACATCACAATGGTGCTTTGGGCCATTTCTGCATTTCTGCAGTTTCCTTTGGAGCCTGGCCTTTGGAGTTCTGTGCATTTCTCTCAAGTGACACCCAAACCTAGCACCTGTAAATCACTTCGCTTCAAGAGCAATTACACATGTAGTCGCATGAAACGTGAGCCCTGAGCTCAAATATTCACTTCAGAGCAGGCTGTCTTCTACCTTAGTCATAACTTTTCCCTAAAATTTTTCATCCACCCCCTTGTCCAGATTGTAAGTCCCTCGAGGGCAGAGGCCCGGTCTCTCATATGATTCCTTAGCAACTGGTACAGCATCTGACTGTTGTGACACTCAGTCTGTGCACCAAATTAAGGAATTATTTTAAATAATTATAAAGTATGCTTGCAAATGACATTATCACCAAACTTTCAAATTCCAGGAAGTTAGTCTTAGATGGGGTGTCAAGTTGCTGTTTTAGTAAAAAGACTGAATCAACAGAGGAAAGAGATCGTATCAATGAGTGAAATGATGATTTATTATCTGATAGATTCTTGGCCACACAGAGCATTTAGCCCGAGTCAGTTGGCTAAACAGATTAACTTAGTGTGTTAACATGACCCAGTCCTGACTTCTGTTGATTTGGTGGCATGCGTGAAGAGAAAGAGTCCTTATTCCGCTGGACTGCTGGTCTACCATATTTCTAACGGGGTCACCAGCCAGACAGTGGAAAATGCTACATTGGGGAAGCGGACATAAATAACATTTCTTAACAGGAAATGCCAAAGCTGTTTGAAATGGCTGGAAATGAATTTCTAAAGTCAGTTTTTTTTTTTTTCTTTTTTTTCCCTCTTCTATCCCTGAATATTAGAACATCAGCAAGACTGCAGGTGTGGAGACTCAGGTCTCAGGGATGGATACTGGATTTTTTCTCCATTGCCTTTTCAGGCAGTTTACTTTTTCAGAGTGACACCCCAAACCTCAAACTTGCCAAGCAATGCTAAGTATTCTGGGAGATAACACTTTCCTTAAAATTAATATAAAACTCAATCCCACTTCCTTGTCTCCCACTTCATTCTCTAGATCGCATGAGGTCTACATTGAATTATTATAAAGTTATCCCTTAAAGATTCTACCAAGTGACTTAGCAAGGATGCTTGGCTGTAGGTCATGGAAACTCATTATGATAGCATAAAGAGCAAAGGAGAATGAAACCTGAGTGAGTAGTGACTTTTTTCCAGACTGCAGACCTTGTAAACCATGGACCCAATTCCCAAAGGCAACATCCCTAGACATGTATGTTCCTATATCACAGAACAGAACAGAATGGTAAGAAACTTCAAAAGGATACATATGTAAGAGTGCTAAAGCCAGGAGTTAGAGTCAAGTGTTTACACGAGTATACTTCCTAGAGCTCTCAGTCAGTGCCTTTCTGTCCACATGTAGCCACTTTTATTATGATACTACCTCCTGGCCCAGCCCCAATGGTCAGAGCGGAACAGATCAGTGGACCAGTGATGGTGCCTGACTCCACAGCAAAAAACTGTTAGGTGGGCCACTCCCTTTGACTTATGCATTAGCCCCCAAAGAGAAGCTGATCATTCATATTCTTTTTCTTGGAAATCTGGACTTAGAGAGTTGGAAAAAAAACGAGCCAGGAACCATGGGGAACTAATGCAGGGAAGTCTTGAGGGAGAGAAAGTTCCAAAAAGGCAACAACACCTGTGGCTAAGTAGAAACTGGAGAAGGGGAACATATGCATCATCAGAGTCCTCTATAGGACCCGTGGAG